TTCGTATAATAAAATGTATACATAAGGTTAGTTTTTATTACAATTATTTTTCATATAATTTAACAATTTGAACTATTGAATGTATTTAAATAATCATAATGGTATTTTTTTAATTTTTTGGCGTTTTACTGGAAAAAATGTCGTTAACAAATAACTACCCGCTAGGCAAGGTAAAATTTTAATTTAGAGATTTATCTAATATTGTTAGGTGCATTTTAGAATGCTATAATAATGTTAACTTGTTGATTTAAATTATTTTTTTATTTACTCGTAATACATATATTCATTTTTCATCTAATAAAAATATAGTAGATGATAATTTATAATATATTAGCATATTTAGAATGAAGCTATATAATATTTAAATATGTTTATTTATACAGCCTCTTTCCAGTAGGCAAAGCAAGATAAATTGAATACTGCGTGAACATATAATGATTTATTTTGCTTTTAACGCAAAACATTACGTAAGTTAAAATCTACTGTACGTAAGTCATATTGAAATACCAGTACGTAACCGCGTGCGCGAGTCACACTCGCACTTGACCTTTTATATTCAAGCAACAAATAATTCGTTTTATATTAGCACTAGCATTGCCCGCGGCTCCGCCCGCGTTCAGATGACCAAATTATACACACACACACGTATTTATTGAAGAGCATTAATACCAAGTTCCAAGTAATTCTGATCATAAATATATTTTTGGGTTGTATAATGACGCGTTTTCCCGTGGGAATGAGATGATCTTCCGGGGCAGCCTTTGTTACTCTCCAGCTCTCTAACTATCTCCACGCAAAAATTTACGCTAGTCCGTCACTCCGTTTTGACGTGAAAGAAGGACAAACAAACAAACACACTTTCACATTTATAAAATTAGTTTGGATACATATTACTGTTTTCATCAAAAAGCAAATTTTCAAGCTACTGTCGTCTAGTCTGAAAACAACCACTAGGAGAATTTAATAACGCCAACTAGGTCGTATAATAAATTGTTAGTAATTATAACTTGTTTATTAGTGGTTCCCGCTAAATATTCGTATACCTCCTTTAATTAGTAACTGAGGGGTGCACAGTTAAAAGGTCCTAAGCAAACCAGGACCAAGATTCTCATTCCATGATTTCATTAGATTCAAAGAACAATAAAACAGTTAATTATTTTATATGCCTAAGCACTCGCCGCTTGAATTTGCGGGTATCTGTTTAATTCTATTCAATTGATAAAACCTAATTTTGATAATTGATAATTGTTATAAAAGTGGACGTTATCGTTACTGCATGGTTGCCTGAAAATATTTAGCCGCAATTACCTTTTTTTAAGCATATTGTAATGAATTTTTAATTCCTAAAATTAATATATGTTTTTTATGTTAATCCAACGTCATTTAAACGTAATAAATGAAATTGTAAATAGAAAAAAATATGTTCCCAGCTAAGAGCCGCAATGTTTGAGTTACTGATGCAAGTTATCATATTGTTAATTATTTATACTTATATATTTTTCCATTAAATTATATTTCAAATTAATTTTAATTTTCTTCTCTACATTGTAGCCTTTAAAATAAAATTGGTACGTACGGTCTCCGTTATTTGAATTAACAGTCTATTTATTTAAACTTCTATTTTTATCATTAAGTAAGAATGGAGAATAAAATTGTATGAAATAAAAACGCGTCATGTACTTATATGGAATAAGTTATTAAATTGTATGTTTATATTGGTATTTTATAAGTTGGCCCAAAAATCTTACACAATCTCGTATCCGCGTCACTAGGTTTCAGACATGAAAGGTCACGGAAATCGGTTTATATAAATGTCTTAATTTCTTTACTGAAATTACAATTCAAGTTTATACAAAAGTTGTAGAGTACAAAAATCTCTACAAATGGACATGACAAATTAATGATAGATATGTTTATTTATGTGTTATTCATATATTGTTACACTACATTTTAATATAACTAAATTTAAAAAAAACATACGTATTTAAAGGTTTCATTGAACGTATAAAACTACGTACGCTTGAAACTAGCCTAAAATTATTACGAATAAAACTTAAAAAAAAACCCGACTTTCAGGCAATAAAAAGTAAAAAATAACTAAACGGGATTTTCATTTAGAATAGATTCCCAACCAGATATTTTGGAAATCGGTGTGCTTTGATTTGTATCGGCTGGCACCGACTTTGAAAATATCTATTCTACATGAAAACCTCCGTTTAGTTATTTTTTACTTTTTAGTGCTTGGAAGTCGGTTTTTATTTTTTTTTAAGTTTTTGTTTTTCCATTTTTAGTGTAGACGTAAATAATTTCAAAGCAGGTAATTTGTAATGTTCGACTGAGCCATTTATTTAAAATTAATTTATTGTAAATATTTAAAAAAAACCGCTCGAACGATTTTGATAAAATTTTAATCGGACCACCTGGGATGTATACCATTTGAAAGAAAATAAAATTTCCAAATCGGTTCAGGTGTCTACGAGAAATCGGTGAACATACATTAAAAAAGAAAAAAGAAAAGATTCCGACGAATCGAGAACCTCCTCCTTTTTGGAAGTCGGTTAAAAAAGCTGTCATGCGTATTGAATAACTTATTAAGTTGTTTATATATCTTTATATATATAATTCTTCTGTGAGTGTGTATGTCACTGAACTTCTCTCAAACGACTGGACCGATTTTGATGAAATTTTTTGTGTGTGTTCAAGGGGATCTGGGAATGGTTTAGATTCACAATTTTGTCCGCTGGACAATGTTTTTTTAATTAATTTTTAATTTTCAAATTAAAGACGTGTAGACAGGACAACGTCTGTCGGGTCCGCTAGTTATATATATTACATTGGTATTTTGTAAGTTGGCTCAAAAATCTATACAATAATATTATAAAGAGGTAAAGTTTGTGAATTTGTGAGCTTTTAGGGGGTAATTTCTGGATCTACTGAACCGATTTAGATGGAACTTGGTAAGAAGATAGTTTAAGCCCCTGGAAAGAACATAGGATACTTTTTATCCCGGAAATCATTCCCTAACGGGGTGAAAATGAGGACGAAAGTTTATATTGCGAAGCAAACTTGGAACGAACCCGAGCGAAGCGAGGGTGAGTCGCTAGTAATATATGATCCCGTGTCCTCGTCACAAAATTTACTTGTCATAGATCACTACATATTGTATTACACAGTTAACCTTATATTTCTCGCTCTACCTCAACAAAATTTATAAAAAAAATATGCTCTTCTCCTTTCCTAATAAATTCAAGCGTCATCTTAGGAAACGGAAACAATATTTTTTATAATTTCACCAATTTTAACGATATTGGCTTGTATCTATTCTATAATATCTGATGATGCGGAAACAAGATTACATGAGATTTACAAGACAACTTATAGATTGCTAAATCTAAAATGTATAAATACATTATGAGATTTCCCTCTATTTTTCTTAAGTGTAGTATGATTACGACATTACATAGTGATACTTTGGTGTGTTGAGAGCACGCCAATGACACTCCGACGTAGTACCTATATCATCTATGTACAATTAGCACATCGTAGCGATAGAGATAGAGATTGAGAGATATACTTATGGACGGCATAAGTATAAATGGAAACACACACAATATAAGCCAATCACTTAAAGGTAATTTGGGGATCTTGTTTGTCGATCGAGAAGGGAAGATTTAAAAACAACCAAGAATAATTGAAAAATTGTCAAAGTCAAACAATATCTCGTAGAAACAGGAAATGTCTTATTCGTGTCTTCCTCACAATACGAATTTATTGCGTCTGTTAACGCAACTCTCTTCTTACTAAATTTCATCTAAATCGGTTCAGTAGATCCAGAGATTACCCCCTACAACCTCACAAACTCACAATCATTATCTCTTTATAATATTAGTATAGATAAGTTTAATATTAAAGATGTGTAATTATGTATGTTTCCCCATGATAAATAAATATATAAATATGTACATATATGCGTGGGTATGTTGGTATGTAATGAGTGCATGACACTTTACGAATATACCTGTTCAAAGTCAAGGCAACTCGCTAAATTTTGTTCAGCTCACGTAAAAGATATTTATAATAAATAATAAAAAAATCTAATCAAATCAAAAATCTAAAAAAATAAAAATCTTTACATAGTATAAAATGAAGTCGCTTCCGCTGTCTGTTCGCTTGGATCTTTTAAACTACTCAACGGATTTTAATGCAGTTTTCAGCAATAGATAGAGTGATCCAAGAGAAAGGTTTATATGTATAATACATGCATATTATAGTAGAGAAAAGGCGAGAAAATCTAAGATTTGTATTTCATACTAAGCGTTAAAACGTACCTAGGGACGAACGAACCCGAGCGAAGCGAGTGTAAATTGCAAGTAAAGTATAAAAATAATGAAATATTATTACATAAGTAAAAATCTTGTTTTAATTGTATTCATTCATATTTAAGCATATTGACAGACACGTATCTATGATTTTTATTAACCACAGAATGAAAACTATATATAGAAGAAGAAAAAAGTTTTATTTTGTGATTATAATTTAATAATTGCTATTTTTAAATACATATATAACATAATGATTCTGAATTTTATAGTGTTATAGACAGGCAAGACACATCAGGTTTAAAAGCCAAGTAGGTAGATAGGCATAGTGTAAGTATAATATTATGCCAACATAATTGAAAATAGCCATAAAATGGATTAAGAATTGCTAGAGTTGATTATTTCGTCAAATTGATAAGAATACTCCATAATATTTTTGTTAATATCTTGTATTATGCTATTTTATGCTAAATCAATAGAATGGGAAGCACTAAAATGTCAATTATTGTATTATATTGATACTTTACCGTCGATATAGATTAGGATCTTGCTGTGACAAGTAGGTAGGTACCTAATCTGTTTTATCTTCAGATATTATAAGATATATGAGTTAAAAATAGTCAATAGGAAATTCTCACAATACAATGGCCAACTATAAAAATAACAGCCTTAGATATTTTATCTACCTGTAATACTCGTAATTTTCGACATTAAAATATACAGGTATTAAGCCATATCTATCAAATTGTGTTATATTGTTAATTTTGACTCACATGTCATCCACGCTGCTTACCGGAAAAAAAATAGTTTTCTTAACAAATTTGATCAATATATTGTTATATCAATTAAAGTGTTTGTTATCAATTGCTCTTCTAAAAAGCTTATGTGTATGTATAAATAAGGTAGTTATTAATTATCACCTCCAAGTACTTTACTATTAAGTTTAATTTCTAAATACTTAATTCTTCTATTAAAATCAAAAATATAGATATTAATATACACTTTGTTATTTACATTATAAAAAATCAAGAACATACCTGAGTGATCTTGCAAAGAGCGACTAAGTGGTGGCGCAGGCGGTGTCGCTGCATGATCTCCGCCGTACAATCCGCCGAACTCCTCCGCAGACGAGGACGACGCGTTGCTACACTTGCGACCTTTATCTGGCGTGTATTTGCTTTCCGCACCTGATTGCAGGAACTTGGCATCAGCCTGGTGCTCGTCAAGTAAGCCGGGCACGCCGAGCAAGCCGCCAACTAAGTTGGGCCGCAACTCCTCCATGATCTTTGAGCCTTGACCTCCGCTGGCACTGGCGCTGAAGTTGAGTTGGCGGCTGAAGAAGGCCGGGAAGATGTTGAACTGCTGAGGGTCCGGCAGCGTGGCCAGGGGCGGCGCGGGCGGCTCCACGGCCCCCGCGCACGCCGCACTCTTGAACTCCACCGTGCTGTGGCCGGCGCGCTGGCTGATCGAGCAGCGCAGTTCTCCCGCGCTTCGAACCTCGTGCTCCGTACCGTCGCCGTCGGCTCGGCCCCGACGCTCACTGACTAACCACATTATAGTGACGTGGTGTGCCGACACGCCGCCCCGCGCGTTAATTGTTCGCGACTGCGCGAGAGGACCTCACGTCGCCGCCCTCGGGCTAGAGCGAAACGGCTCGCTCCCTACCGTAATCGATGTAAAATCTTTATAGGGATGCTGCGTCTCATTCATCCCCGGCGCACTGTGTACTGAAGGCTTCGGGGCGGCGGCAGGCGGGGCCGGGCCTCGTTGCGTTCTCGTGATTGGCGGACGCGCCCCGCACGGGGTTCGTCGCACCGCTTCAGGCCAGATATGCTTCTCTTTGTTTTATTGTCTTCATGGCTTCTCGTCGATCTTGCGTTGAAAGTTCATGCATTGTACCACGTTTTGTTCTACAAAATTCAAAATCACGTATGAACTTCTTGAGGTAAAATGTGCTGAAATAGAGATGTGACTTTTAAAGTTTTTTCGTGTTCCCCTTTTGTGGTGTGATCATATTAAATGTAGCTTAGATTACAATGTCTCGTTTAGATACTAGTGACGTTTTTGTTTTCAAAATAATAAAAAATAAAAATGGTGTATTAATTTATTTTAACTATTATTAACACCTTGTTAATATCCTTATATAGAATGTTGGGAATAATAAATATCATCATTTAAATTATTATATATATTATATATTATAATATAGTAGGTAGTTTTAACGTGCCGACGGTCATATTTTTTATACTTTCTTCTTTTTCCAAGCAATGACGATGGGATACGAGCCATTACTAACTTGATTAGTGTAGGCGTAAACGTAGCTTACAAAACAGATTTTTGAAAATATAACTCCATGGTGATAGAATACTTAAATGGCTATATAATAAATAACTACCCATAGTAGAAGCTGATTTATATAAAACATCTTTTATATTTTCAAAATAAGAATATATTTATAACATTATTTTTTTTTCTCGCTTTTTTTTCTCTTTTTGATTAACTAGTTAATATTTTTATGTTTATTTTAAAATTTAATTTAGCGCAGTAAAAATTGAGGTGGATCTCCAATTCCCTGGTAATGCAATTCAACACCAAAAATATCGGAAATCTTATAATAAGCTATTTTTGCACAAAGTATACCTACTTGGTACAAAAATTGAAGTTATAATTATTGCATAGGCCTGAATAGAGATATCTTTACAAAGTATTACCTATTGACAAACTAAGTGTATCTACGACACATTATTATTTGGAATGTACTTACGTATTATTATGTGAGGTAAAGTCACATATTCACTTAGATGACTTTCAAATTTCAATCATTAATCGAAGTAAAAGTCAAGCTAGGATGACTATAGGCCCGAGATTGATAGGTATTGTATCCGAGAGTATTAAGGATTTTCCTTATACGCTTCACTCCAAATGTTGATTCAATTTTATTACGAATGGGTATTGTACCTATACATCACTGATTTTCGCTTAAGTTTACTTACTGTATATGATTCTATCTTATAAATTCGCTTTTAGTAACGGCTTCTATGTTACGCTACTAATGAATTACATTACAATTACATTTCAGTCCAATGTATTTAATATTTTTTTAGGATTGTAATATAAAGGTAGTAACGAACAGCGAATATTAAATGTTACATTAAGAATATTGCAATATAGTGATCACATATTTTTTATTAGTATTTTTTATATGTAAGTTAATTAATTCAAATCTATACTAATAAATGGAAAACCGTTTTTTTTGTTCGGTTATACTGCGATAACTACTGAACCGATTGGAATAATACTCATAACATAAGATGCAGCGTGTTTCGGAGAAGGTTTTAAAATATGATAATTTGGTGATTAAAGTACTATGCTGGCGGAGCCGCAGGAAAACGCTAGTAAAAATATATCTATACATACATATAATAAAATTGTAATTAAGCCGAATCTCTACATTAAATATTTTTTTGAAAATCTTATTGAAATAGACATTATTATCGATACAGAGGCCGAATCTATAGTTTTTAGATTTTTTGTATGTCTGTCTATCTATCTGTCTGTCTGTTACCGCATCACGGAAAAACCACTCGAGGGATTTTGATGAAATTTGATATGATGATAGCTGGTTATTCGGGTCAACATATAGGAAACTTTTTACTGGGGGAAAATATGTCATATCTGAGAAATGTATACTTAACGTTAAAACATAAGGAGGGACAAACCCGAGCGGAGCGAGGGTGAGTCGCTAGTATTAAATATACACTGTTGTGGCACTCACCGTCCATCAAATGTTTGACGCTGACATAAATTTGTGTGTAAGTAGTCTCATCAATTTGTCCTTTTTCTATCCAGACCACACCTATGTATTGTTTATTAACACTTTCATTCCTTCGCGTTTATATCTGGATTTTTCCCTATAGTGTCTTAGAGATGAACCTCGGCTGACTGTTGAAACGGGATATGGAATGAATTTAAAACTTTTTATATTGAACACCCGCTGTGTTCTGTGTGTGTCTGTACCTACATGTTGGGCAAGTCAGAATACAGGTTTTTTTAGATAGGATTACTATGAGCATGTGAACTCTAAAGCAATACAGAATAATAATAATAATACAGTCGGTACTCCAGAAACGTGCGCAAGTTATCGTTTATTTTGGAAATAGTATATAAGGGATAGAAGAAAAAAAAAATGTACAAAAATTCTGTCATTGTACTGCAAATATTGGATATTTTTTATAAGTATTTAGTAGAATAAAAATCTTAATGTTATATTCTACTTTATCACAGAAATTCAAAGAAAAGACAAAATAGTGTTTTTGCTATTTAACTAAAATCTTATCTTATAATATTTAATCACCAATACTTGTACCTACCTATATTTTGTATATCTCGGAAACAGCTCTAACGATTTGAATAAAATTTTGTATTTAGGTAAGGTTTGGCTTTTTAAGTATATGCATAGATGTGTTTTCTAAAAAACACAACAACACATTTTTCACAAAAAAACATCTTCAAGACTAATTTATTATCAGAGCCTTTTCTATTTGCTCTTATGTTGACGGTTGACAATGACTTATAGCGCTATCTCGTAAAATACAAAACCATTCCCCATACAAACTGAGGCCTGGTGTTACAGGCTTCAAAATTAGTCGTAAGGCCAATTTTCATGGGCTTCAGCGGTGGCTAAGTTAGTAAAATCGAGTTTTAAATACGTTGTCCTTAGGATAGGTTTTACGTAATATTTTGACACATGATACATCATTAAATGACAATTTATGAAATTAAGGTAAATGATAAGCGCACGGGGTCTCTTACGTACACTTCTTTAATTATATTTACAATATGTTGTCGCGTTTTTTAACATTTTATTGAAGCACGTAGAAAGCGCGTACGTGTCTTGTACGTCTAACTACTATAAAAAATAATCTTAAGTGCTTTAAATTAGATAAATCATAATAAGATATAAATTGTAAACTACTTATAGTGGAGCGCATAAAACACGTTTACCTAAAGGCAATTTGATGCAGTAAGATGTAGAAAAAAAGACGTACTTGGATGCTATAATTTATTTTATAAATAGGTAATCATCGTCATCAGAGCATATATTATAATAATATTATATCATAATACTGTCTCATAACTGTGCATGAGGTATTGGTCTCTATGTCGTTGCCAACTAAGAAACCATATTATGCTCATTGTGTGGGCACAGCAACCGACTGTTCTTTTTCCCCCAATACAGTTGCAGTTATATCGCATTATTGCATTTCTCCCACTTAAAGAACTGTCAACTAAAATATCAACAAACACTTTTTAACAAAAAAATAAAAACCGACTTCAAAAAAGCACTAAAAAGTAAAAAATAACTGATTGATAGTTTTCTAAACTAAACTTAAATTTGCTTTTATTAGTAACACTAAAAATTCTGGCTCTAAAATCTGATTCTAACGTGTTAGGCTTGTCAAATCAAATAAAATAAGCCCAAACTTAAAGTATCTACTATTAGCTGTTGAAGAGTTCCACCTATGCACCTTCTGGCCTTACCATCAGATCAGGTCAACGATACCGAAACACTGCACCATCAACGAAAATAGACACACTTGCAAAGTTTCAAGTTAATAAGACAATTAGGAGTAGGTTAAATTCATCCTTAGCTATTTTTCCACCCTTAGGGGTGGTCTTTTTTTTGAAATTTAAATGGGTTCAATCTGAAAGTATACACTTTCCAATAAAACAAAAATTGTCTAATCGGTTAACAAATGATGGAAGTCTGAGGTAACAAACATAAAAAAATAACAAAAAATCATACAGCCGAATTGAGAACCTCCTCCTTTTTGAGGAAGTCGGTTGAAAATATATTTTATTGCTTATATGTCTTGATTTGTTTTCTTAATAACCATGTAGTTTCATATATTGGCAGCTCCTGTAGTAACCCTCTGTCTACCTCCTTGTACTTACACTTTTATAACATACTAGCATTGCCCGCGGCTCCGTCCGCGTTTAGATGACCAAAAACTAAATTCTTAGGTTTTACATATTAGGTATAGTATTATATGATCTGTGATATTAGTATACTCTTACATTGCAGTTTTTGTATGAAAAATTATGGATATCGTTATGAATTTAAAATCATATTGGCAGTATCAAAAACTAAAATATTTAGTTACAAGTCCTTTCATTATTTTATCATAATATCAACCCTTTATTTTTAATGCTCCTATGGTTATGAATATAATTTAGAGTATCATGTTCACGACACAAATGTCATTATTTGAATATACCTCTATGGTTTAGATTTAAGATAAAAATTTGCTTTTGAACTTCAATAGTGCGGGGACCGTACCAATGTACACAGTGATTTTAAGCTGATATATTTTTTAGATCTTCTTAAAATAATATTATTTAATCCGATATTATATACTTATAATAATTAACACATTGTTATCTTTCTTTTTAACCGACTTCCAAAAAAGAGGAGGTTCTCAATTCGTCGGAATCTTTCTTTTTTTTATGTATGTTCACCGATTACTTGAAGAAGCCTAAACCGATTTTTTTTT